CAAACTATGTGATTTGTTTATTGCGTCCCACGAACTCAGCCCCGCCAGGGGTAGTTTACTGGGTCTGGCGTCTAAACCACTGTGGATGGGAAACAAGCAAGCGTCCTCGGTAATGGCACCAATAAGCAGGACATTTCCAATGGAGACCAGAGAAAGAGAAGCACATTGCCTACAGAGGACAATTCCATATTCTATGTGAGGATGGTTCGCCTTTCCATGCATCATTCATCGTCGGGCATTCGGAGGTCGGTCATTCTCACCTCTGTCTAAAAGAGAATCAGTTAGGTAATGACATGCTCTGATCTGACTGTCATCCGTAACATCTTGTTCCAATGACACATGCTCAGCGCTTTTGTGGGTCATTTATCCTATAAAGTTACCTCCTCTATCACGTTCACTGCCGTGTGCATCTAAAATTGTTCGCTAGATAGAAAACAGAACCGGGGTTTTCGGACACTGACATCGTATATTTTCTAGTCTGTACTGGCTATTAATTTTGGTTCGTTGATGATAACTCAACCAGTTGACGTACTGAACTCCCCCCCCCACACCAAGATATTTGATGACCTTGTTCGCGTTTTGGCAAAATCTACTAACGTTTACCACCAGCCGAGTAAGCATCAATACAATGTCCACGCTCGCCCAATAACGAAATCCGTCGAGGTGTGGAACAGGTCCTACGAAGACTCCCACGCCCTCCTGGCGAGTCCGCCGAAGACAGGGAGGCTAACTCTAACCTAGGTTATTTCACTGCCCAAATTGGGACAGATTAAGTAGCCCGGAAGGGAGTGCTAAGCGCACAGCGAGTTGGCGCCTGCAATGAAAATGACCCTCTCCTTCTGCAAACATGCACAAAACACCGCCTCCTCCTCTTCCCCATCAACACCTTCTCTCATGCAGCATGAAAGGAGGCGACGTGGGTGCGCACCCGACCGCGGCGATTGCAGCTACTGGACAACATTCTCCTCCGTTTGCGTGGCCGCTACAACGTGCTATTGACAAAAGCGATCTGCGACGTCGACGGTTCGACGGATTCTCGTTTTGCCAATCCCAAGAGGAAGCCGAGAGTCTAACCCCACAGGCGACCACAGGATCAGCGGCCACCAGGTGAATTAGATGCTGTTGTGTTGAGAGTATTTGTTCATCGCTTCGATGTCAGCAATCAACTGACTCATGTCAGGAAAAACTGCAGACTCCGAATGACAACGCCACCATGGAGATGCAATGGTACCAATTGCGGTCCGCCGTCCACCTGACCGTCCTGGAGATCCTCGATCGCCCTTACTGTCAACATCAGACTTGCTTCAATGGAAAACACAAAATCCGTAGTCCGCTCCCTGTGAAGACATCCTGCATAAAACCTACATTAAACTGTGCGTCAAATCCGGTACCGACGCAAACAAAATGGTCCTCTTCGGTTGTCGTGCTGGATCCAGCAACGGCTGAGTGAGACGAAAAATGCATGCATAGAACGCAAGGCCGATAGAATACGAGGGTAGGCGGACCTCTAGGAAACGAAGAATTTCATGGCCTTCTCCAAGGCTGTCTACGGCTCATGCACCAGAGGAACACCGCCGCTGCTTAGCTCCGACGGAATAACACTCCACACGGAGAAATCACAGATGCCGAAATATTGGTCCGGCCTTTTCAGCAGTGGTGGGCTAGGCCCTTCAGAACTATCGACAATCCACAATTTCTGACGCCGCCAGCGACCGGCTTGGGGTGTTGCTTTGGTCCACCTGTCTGAAAACACATGTAAGGAAGTCTCCATAAAATAACATATTGGACAGGGTCTCGCCATCCACCCTCATGATGTGGTTACTCCTACGCAGTTTTATTTGCCTCAACATGACGGTTTTTCCAACATCTTATTGTCCGTCTTCCTTTCCTGTCAATTCGCTTTCGGGATCTCGGGGCAGAGCTGGGATGAAAGCGAGTGGGTCCTCACGCTTCGTCCTTATTGGCAGTTCACGTCTCCGCTCCGTATAAGAACACCGTCAGGACAACAGCACTGTGAATGCTTAGTCGTGTATTGAGTAAAACGTCGCGTCGGTTGCAGACGTCACACAGACATAAGGCAGATCTGATAAAGCGGTTTCTTCATTCAAACTCATAGCCGTCTTGATGTCGCATTTCATTGACGCTCAACTCAACATCCACTCTAAGGGATGAGACCAGATGACCCTATTATCCAGAAGGCGAGAATAATATGTCCAACGATATTTAGGAGAATCCGGTCCCTCCTCTCCGCCCTGGACATGAAAGTCTGTTGCGTCCGAACTGGCGGCAGTTAGAACGGAAATCGAGATTCACGGAGACAAGATCTCATTGGGGTGGCTAGTCTGAAGTGTGGTGATCGTTCATGGAGAAGATTATTGGAGAAAATAGTCTTCAAGTGCTGAGAATAGGACTGAAACGCTTTGCCTTTTTTGCTGTAGATGAAAATAAGGCGATTGTGAATGAGCCACAGACCATAGAGTTTGTTTCTTAGTACATTCTT